ACAACGTTTTATTAGCCTTGTTCACGATCCATCATGTTAGTACAGCTAAATGAAACGATAACTTCAAAAAAATCATGAAAATACTTAAACATGCCACCGCCGGGCCGACACGGGTTGGCCGGGCGGCGGCACCCCGTATGTGAAAGTGAAGGGTAGAGTGAGTAATAATACCTGATGCATTGTTTTATCAGTTTCATACCGGGCTAGATAAAAGATTGCGGTTTCCGCACGGATATTGATCCTAGTCACCTGATTTAAATTACACTGCTGGTTTTATGTTTAAGTATTTTCATAATTTTTTTAATGAAATTATCGTTTCATTTAGCTGTACTAACATGATGGAGCGTGAATCAAGCTAATAAAACGTTGTGAAAAGATATTTTTTCAAAGGTATCGTTAGTACTATTGTCTGTCTTCGTTTTCGGGAGCGTTTCATTAACACCAGTTGTAACCTGTAGGTATAACTATCTCGTATACATGTCTCATGCATACGAGATGGTTATACCACCACCTATTGGAAACCATACGATTTTCTAGCATTTACCATATTCGCCTCTTATGACACCCATGGGACAAAATGGCGACCACCACAAGGCATACAATTTATTAAACTGGGGGGTCCAAAAAAGGATCACTACAAACAGGAAGACTCTGCTGCCCATCTCCTGTTTCAGTTTCCCTTTGTCATCTCTTACGAGACCCGTGGGTGTGGATACTCTTTCACCGTAACTACACGGTATCTTCCTGATAAATAGTTAAAATAATAAAAATCTGCGGTTATCGACCCGTCTGATAAGCGTGGCAACTATGGTAAACTCCCCCCTAAGAGACAATCTACGGTGGAGGCTTATGTTCCGTAGTGGACTTTATAGGCTGTAATGGATGGATAGATGGATGGACTACAGACAGAGACAGAGAGATATATTCCGTACTAAATCAGTGTAGTGTAATGTTTACAACATAAATCGTTGGACTGCACATATCTAATCTTTGCATGGCACATTAAACAGGTTTTGCTAACCGCGACCATGAGTCATAAAAATAAACGGGTCATGCGTTAAAAAATAAAAGCGATTTTATGTTTACTGTCTGTGAAAATATTTTAAAAATGGGTAAGTTTGTGTGATTTTACTGAAAGTATTGATTTTTTATAGATGTAAGTTTGATAAATATCTTTTTCTTTTGTTCTCTAAAAAATACGTAACCTTCACAAAAGGGTTTTTCCTGTATCATGGGGGCAGTTTACGTACATAAATTTCACGAGGACAAACATTCAGATCCGAAACAATTATTTATAGATTATCTTGGCTATTGCATTGGAGTATGTTGAGACGCATGTAAAACAAACATCATACACATTGAGAGAGCTAAACGTTCTTTGCTGAAAACACATTTACATTTAAGCCTTATAGATACCTCACCAATACCTTTTACGAGATGTGTCAAGTTCTCACAATGAGGCAAATTTTTACCACATTATCATATTATACCACATATTTATTTTCCATTACATATTTATTTAATACATTACATATTTATTTACCACATATCAAACAGCATGTTTCTAATCCTTACTTGGTTCAATTACCAATGTTATTGATCCCCTAAGATGCCCTAATGCACGCACACACACACGCACACACGCACGCACACACACACACACACACACACACACACACACACATACACACACACGCACACACACACATACACACACACGCGCACACACATTTAAAACAAAATTCCTTGATTATTTCTTCTGCACTTGTTCTGCATGCCCGCAAAATAATTAAATAACATTCTTTGAGAATTTGTGTTATTACTTAACTCTGGAAATACTCTGGAAAATTGTCTTGAATTGAATTAGACTAAGAAACATGGAAGAAGGTGCTGAATCCTGACATACAGGTTCTTACCTAGTTTAGGATGCAGAGGTTGCATAAGCTATTTTTAACCTCATATTATCTCAATAACATTATCATTATTATTATTATTTTTTTTGATCATACAAATACTTGTTGCATGCGGGATTCAAATCCACGGCCCTCAGTGCCGCTACTCATTGCTAAGCCACTGCGCCATGGAGCTGTAAATGAATATAAATTGACATTTATAATGTAGTGTCATTTATATGACAACAGCGCTGAGCTCAGGCATCATCGGCCAAAAATACTTGCGCCTTAAAATCAAGATTCCAACGTTTAGTCCTATAGTTTGTAGTTTAGTCCTATAGTGGAATAGAATGGAGTAGAATGGAATAGAATGGAATAGAATGGAATAGAATGGAATAAAATGGAAAAGAATGGAATAGAATGGAATAGAATGGACTAGAATGGAATAGAATGGAATAGAATGGAATAGAATGGAATAGAATGGAATAGAATGAAATGGAATGGAATAGAATGGAATGGAATGGAATGGAGTGGAATGGAATGGAATAGAATAGATTAGAATAGAATAGAATATTTTTTATTCAATATAAATCACATGTGTAATTCTTATTGAAAGTCATTTTTTTACTTTACCACTGGTTCGCAAAAAATCCTCTGTGCTGGGAAGAACCAGCAAGAAACCCAGCGGGACTTTTTTTAAAAGCAAATTTTACATTAATGGTTGTACAAACAATATAAGTACAAAATTTATTTTAGAAACAGCTTGGAAGCGACCACCTCATTCCCAGCGGTTATTATCAACCATGTATTCATTTATACTATAATAACCCTTTTTATACAGTTTCAACTTAACAAAACATTTAAACTTGGTAATAGAGAGAGCCTGTTCACTTTCCGGGACCTTGTTGTAAAAAATTGCCCCAAGAATGAATACTTACTGACTCTATATTTATTTCTTTAAATTTATCTCTAAGAGACTCTCTCGGTATTATGTTGTAAATAGCTCTAATGGCCCTCTTCTGTAAAACAAAAATATTTTCTTAACCAGCCGCATTTCCCCATAGCAAAATTCCATAAGACATTATGCTATGAAAATCAAAACAAATTACGTATTTAATATCCGTATCTAAATTGCTTGAAGTTTTTGCTGTAAGTTAATAAAATAAGACTTCGATAGAATAATTATTGGTTGGTTGATTTTACTACTTTTACATGTTAACATTTGTATTTTGACATTTTTGTAAATGATTGTGTGATATTGTACTTTGTAATTATTCTTTTGACATTTATTTTATTATTAATTGGACATTTTTTATTAGTACTATTAGGACATAATTATATTAGACTAAAATTCATCAATAATTATTGTAAAGAAAATGTATTGCAACTTATAACTATTCAGTTAAAATTTGCACGCCTTGATAAGGCAGAATGTATCGGAACTTTATGATTTAATAATACTTTTGCAACATCTACAAACATTCTAAGCAAATAAATAATTATTAATTATGGAAATAACTGAAATAAACTAATCTAGCTGTCTCGACACTAGTGAGACCTCTAATCTTTTTTACAGCATAGGCTGCAGAACTTAGTCTGCTTGCTAGTTTGGATATATGGGGGCACCATAGAAGCTTTGCGTCGAGAGTGATGCCAAGAAAAACAGATGAGTCGTTCTGTGTCGGCATTACCGCTATGAGACCTATAGAGGCACCCGTAGACGCGGAGATGGTCATCGCTGTCTACGCGCAGCCATAGGATGGCAGGTGCGTACCTTCAAGACTGCCGAGGCGTCAAAAACAGATGTCCTCACTGACGTATACGCAAAGTCCAGCCCGGGGCACAAAGAAGTGTCCAAATTTGTAACCTGGGTAGGAGAGATATGAAGTATCAGCCGGAGAGGACACCTGAGTCTCGGTTAAACAGAGCAAGGCCAGCTTCGCTATCTCTAGATGGTAATGGACAGCGTTAAGGGTGGAATGAAGTCCCCTGATGTTGCAAAAATTCACGGATAACGTGAAAGGGGTCGCCTTGGTCTTATTGCTCCGCTTGCCCCGAACAGTATTAGTCGCGAGCGGAATTTCGTCCCCCCCCCCCAGAATACGCGGGGCATCCTGAGCACCTACGCCCAGGAGTGGAGTGGTTTGGTCGTGGATGCTCAGCGAGGGATTCTCCAGGGGTGCTGGGTACCATCTGGGTAGGGTCCTGGGAAAGCCTTCTGTTCAATTCCGCTACCCTGTTGATGGGGGAGGGAGGATTGGACCTCCGGCCGCCTGCATTCACCAAGCGAAACGCAGAGGTAAACCTCTACTTCACGCTGGTATTCTGTGAGGTCGTGGTACCACCCCGGTTCGAGCCGGCAAAAGCTGCCGCGTGGCTGGGCTGCATATTCCTTATTACAACTAAAACATGAAACTGCAGTTGCCAACCGGCGTCCCAAGCGTGGAAGCTATGTCAAAAATCGTCCCTATGAGGCAATCAATATGGGGGGGAGGGTGTACTTTTTGCACTGCCCTTTCGATAGGCCGTAGCGGTTGTTCCTGACGTCACAGCTTATTGTTCTGGCAGTGAACATCAAACTGATTCTGCGAGCGCTTCGTAAACCCACCACCATCATGGACACAACGCAGGTGTCTTCCTCGGAACCACCCTGTCGCGGACGCATAACGGCTACGAGGGTGGATTGAAAAGTACTCGGCCTAACCAAGAAAATAAACAAATACTAAATCAGTTATATTTTTATTTTTCTACATAATCACCATCAAGTTCTATACACTTTTGCCAGCTCCCCTTCCAAGCATTTAGACCGTTGAAAAAAAATGATTCTTCCTTAGAGTCAAAATATGCGTCTACAGCTGCTTTGACCTCGTCGTTTGTCGAAAATCTTTGACCTCCCAAGTGCTTTTTTAGGTTAGGGAACAGAAAGAAGTCTGATGGTGCCAGATCAGGTGAATACGGCGGATGCGGTAACAGTTCAAAGCCACAGTTGTGAATTTCAGCCATTGACTGTACTGACGTGTGAACACGGGCGTTATCTTGATGAAACAGGAATTTTCTTCTGAGCATTCCTCGACGTTTTTCTTTTATTTCCTCTCGTAAACGACGTAGTTAGGTGCAGTAGTAATCAGAGTTTATATTCTGACCCCTTTCAAGATAATCAATCATAATCACACCTTTCGAGTCCCAGAATACTGAAGCCATCACCTTATTTGCCGACAAAATCGACTTAGCCTTTTTAGGGGGTGGTGAACCAGGTCTTCTCCACTGTTTTGTTTGTTGTTTTGTTTCCGGTGTACAGTAATGAACCCATGTTTCGTCCATAGTAACAAAACGATTCAAAAAATCATCTGCATCGGCTTCAAATAACTCCAAACAGTCGCGTGAAATAGTCAATCGCGTCCTTTTTTGTTCAACTGAAAGCAGTCGCGGAACCCACCTCGCAGACACCTTGTGGAAACCCAACTCGTTGACAATGATGTTTTGAGTTCGTTCATAAGAGATGCCTATAATCTCTGCTATCTCTCTAATTTTTAATCTGCGGTCTCCCATTATTAAATCAAGTACTTTTTCAATATTTTCGTCAGTAGTTGACGTCGAAGGCCTTCCAGAGCGGGGTTCATCTTTCACACTCTCTCTACCACGATTAAATACTGCTATCCATTTTTTGACGGATGAATATGACAGAGCACAATCGCCTAATGTACTGACCATGTCATCATGGATGGCTTTTGATGATAGCCCCTTCTTATGGAGGTACTTAATGACGGCACGCTGCTCGATTTGCTCCATTCGCGGAAATTATGTCCGATTACTTTGTTAATAAATTTATAAAATCACAACTAATTATCGCACACGTTTCGAACTTCACACAATGAACTAGTCTGAACTGAACTAAATAATGTGGGTAGATTTGATTTTTAGAATTGAATGGATCTGTGTTAGGCCGAGTACTTTTCAATCCACCCTCGTACCTCTTATCAGAGCCAATGAAATTACCTATATACAGTCTACAAATTGAAGTATTTTATTTAAAAATTCCACCGGCACAAGTGGAGCTTGATATTCAACACTGGTAAAAATAAGTAAATGGAATAAAATTTGTAATAAAAAGTATATTATATCGATTGGAACTTTTACTAACACATAAACATCCTCTTTTTTGTATATTTTTAATAGCAAAAGTCTAATTTGAAACAACTTTGTTTGATTTAATGCATTGATTGACTAATATGTATATAAATGTATGTAAATGAATATGTATTTAATATATGTGTATGTATGTATGGAAGTATATATATATATTTATTATCTTTATTTTATATTGTGTATATTATATTATCATAATTATCATAAAAGTGCATTATACATCTGCTTTTCTTTGAATTTAACCTGGCCTGCTGGAAGAAATAACAATATGAAATAAGTAGTACCTTTGTACAAATAACTATTTTTACATTGTAAAATTACTTCGTGTGTATATAATTGTTAAATAATTTAATTTAAACTGAAAAGCCGACCAACTTTTAGAACAAAATTTATTAATAATGTTGTCAGCTACACAATTAATTGAATCTTTCAGCTTTTGTTGTAATGCTCTTAACAAATGTTAAACGTGGTACTCGTAGATCCATGCTCTTACAGTTACAGCACGAATGGGTCGGCTCGAGCGAGTAAATACAAAGCTCTCACAGAGTACCAGCGTAAAATAATAGCTCAATGCTGCTCTGTCTTGAATGGTGAGCGTAGAAAACCGGGGACCCCTTTTACTGGAATCGAGGCGTTCCATCTTAGTCCTCATGGGTGACAATGCATCTTTTCACATTCACATTTTAATTCTTACATATAACATAACATAAACACTCACACCTGTCACCCAGAGGGGTAAGCAGAGACAACGCATTTCTACAACATTTATTCTACTCTCATGCTTCTTCTGCCAGACCCAACTTTCACTATCATGCATTAAAGTAGGGACTAACAAAGCACCATGAATTGCCATACGTGCATTTTTTGACACATTATGACTCTTCATAATAGCGTGTAGAGCCCCATTCACTCTATTTACTGATTTCACTCCTCGTTCTATATCCTTATCATTTTTATTCTTAATTATGGATAAATCTAGATGCCTATGGGTTACAGAGATAAACTGTTCAGTGATGTCTCCGTGACCGCGAGGGTGAAAACTGGTAGCGATCACCGAATGGTTAGAGGCACACTGAACCTAAACGTTAAGTTGGAGAGGTCGCGTCTAATGAAGTCAACGCTCCGTCCTCCTCGTGCTCTGTTCCAAAGTCCCGAAACCTTTCAGCTCAAGTTACAAAACCATTTTCAGTGCCTAGAAGACTGCAATGAAGTGGACGATATGAATGACAAGCTCGTGGAAACTGTCCATGCGGTTGGAGCTAAATTCTGCAAGACCCGCCGCAGAAGAACACAAAAACTCTCCGATCACACTCTTTATCTCATGGCTGTTAGACGGGAGATGAAGCTACATTCTTCAACAGATTTGACAGCATACAGGCAACTAAACAGACAGATCTCCAAATGCATGCGGCGGGACTTACGCAACTTCAATACAGCTTGTATTGAAGAAGCGATCGAGCGGAACCAAGGCTCCAAAGTCTTTGCCAGAGATCTGTGTGCCAGAAAGAGCCAACTGTCAAAGCTGAAGACCGAATGTGGTAGCATCGTTTCCGAGACACCTGAGATTTTGAGTGAGATTGAGTGGTTCTATGGGCAGCTGTACACGTCATCGTTGGAGCCACACGCAAGTGTGAGTAACGATCCAAGAGCGAGTCTCATCCGACACTATTCCGAAGATATCCCGGACGTCAGTCTGAGCGAGATCAGAATGGCTCTCCAGCACCTTAAAATCGGCAAGACCCTAGGCGAGGATGGAATTACAATGAGGACTTACCATCAGGTGGACTGTGTGTTCGTTTGTCACCCTTCAAAATCGGCCCATCTTCAATATATTGGCAATTTGGTCGATAAACTCCGGCTTGGGATAATTAATAGAATCAGGCGTTACTTTGCGGAAATCCATTATAATCATCATTCCATCTTGGAAGTCACTTGCCGATTATAGTCACTTCTGCAACATGCATTTGCTATGTCACTCTTTCCTCATTCATTGTTTCTACATGTCAAAAACAGTCAACAAACATCAAACAACAAGTTTATTTTCTCGCACAAATACCACCAGCAAATTTTTTGGACCGGTACGACTTATGAACTTTCAATAAATGAGCCTATACTTTTTTTAAATGGTCGATAACGTATCTGCAATTCCCCCAGTGTTGCAGTTGTTCATGGGCGGCAGTAGTCTCTTACCATCATGTGGGCGACATGCTCATTTGCCACCTCTTATATAAAAAAAAAACTTGACGACCTCGTTGTTCTAGTGGTCGTAAACGAGATTGACTTCATTATGACGACCAGACGACAACTGTTCAGTGATGTCTCAGTGATCGCGAGGGTGAAAACTGGTAGCGATCACCGAATGGTTAGAGGCAAACTGAACCTAAACGTTAAGTTGGAGAGGTCTCGTCTAATGAAGTCAACGCTCCGTCCCCCTCGTGCTCTGTTCCAAAGTCCCGAAACTTTTCAGCTCGAGTTAAAAACCGTTTTCAGTACCTAGAAGACTGCAATGAAGTGGACGATATGAATGACAAGCTAGTGGAAACTGTCCATGTGGTCGGAGCTAAATTCTGCAAGACCCGCCGCAGAAGAACACAAAAACTCTCCGATCACACTCTTTATCTCATGGCTGTTAGGCGGGAGATGAAGCTACATTCTTCAACAGATTTGACAGCATACAGGCAACTGAACAGACAGATCTCCAAATGCATGCGGCGGGACTTACGCAACTTCAATACAGCTTGTATTGAAGAAGCGATCGAGCGGAACCAAGGCTCCAAAGTCTTTGCCAGAGATCTGTGTGCCAGAAAGAGCCAACTGTAAAAGCTGAAGACCGAATGTGGTAGCATCATTTCCGGGACACCTGAGATTTTGAGTGAGATTGAGAGGTTCTATGGGTAGCTGTACACGTCATCGTTGGAGCCACACGCAAGTGTGAGTAACGATCCAAGAGCGAGTCTCATCCGACACTATTCCGAAAATATCCCGGAAGTCAGTCTGAGCCAGATTAGAATGGCTCTCCAGCACCTTAAAAACGGCAAGGCCCCAGGCCAGGATGGAATTACAGCGGAGCTTCTGAAAGCGTGTGAAGACCGGTACTTTAAGTCCTTCACAAGCTCTTTAATTTCGTCCTCCATGGTGGCATTACACCGGAGGCGTGGAGCAGAAGTGCGGTGGTCTTGTTCTTCAAGAAAGGTGACAACGCTCTCTTGAAGCACTACAGACCGATTTCACTTCTGAGCCGCGTCTACATGCTGTTTTCGAGAGTCATTACGAATCGTCTCGCGCGCAGACTTGACGACTTCCAGCCTCCCGAACAAGCCGGTTTCCGAAAGGGCTTTAGCACCATAGACCACATACATACCCTTCGGCAAATTGTACAGAAGCCCGAAGAGTACAATTTGCCACTATATCTGGCGTATGTGGACTATGAGAAAGCCTTTGATTCCGTCGAAATTTGGGCGGTGCTGCAGTCCCTTTAGCGGTGCCAAGTTGACTGTCGGTATATCGAAGTGCTGAAGTGTTTGTACAGTAGAGCTACGATGGCTATCCGAGTACAGAACCAGAGTACGAAACCTATCCAATTGCAGAGAGGTGTAAGACAGGGTGATGTTATATCCCCGAAACTCTTCACCGCTGCATTGGAAGACGTTTTCAAACTTCTGGACTGGAAAGGATACGGTATTAACATCAATGGCGAGTACATCACTCACCTTCGATTTGCCGACGATATAGTCCTTATGGCAGAATCGCTGGAGGACCTAAGCACTATACTCAATGACCTCAATAGTGTCTCCCAACGGATAGGTCTTAAGATGAACATGGACAAAACAAAGATTATGTTTAATGTCCATGTCACACCTATGCTGGTAGTTGTTGGGTGCACTAAGCTCGAAGTTGTTGTACGAGTATGTTTACCTGGGACAAATAGTCCAACTAGGTAAGTCCAACTTCGACCGAGAGGTCAATCGACGGATTCAACTCGGCTGGGCAGCGTTCGGGAACCTACGACACATTTTATCGTCAGACATACCTCAAAACCTTCAAACGAAATTGTACAACCAGTGCGTGTTGCCAGTGATGACTTACGGAACTGAGACGTGGTCCTTCACTGCTGGCCGTATGAGGAAGCTCAAGGTCGCTCAGCGAGCTATGGAGAGGGCTATGCTCGGAGTTTCTCTGCGTGATAAACTCAGAAATGAGGATATCCGCAGTAGAACCAGAGTAACTGACATAGCCCAACGGATTAGTAAGCTAAAGTGGCAGTGGGCCGGTCATATAGCTCGAAGAACCGACAACCGATGGGGAAGAAAGGTTCTCGAGTGGCAGCCTCGTACCGGTAAGCGAAGTGTAGGGCGACCCCCCACGAGATGGAGTGACGAACTGGTAAGACATGCAGGAAGTCGATGAATGCAGGTGGCTCAGGACCGTGCTTTGTGGCATTCCTTGGGGGAGGCCTATGTTCAGCAGTGGACTTATGAAAGGCTGTAATGATGATGAATGATGATGAGTTACTGTATCCATTTACCATCAGGTGGAATGTGTATTCCCTTATCGTTTTTATTCTATAAAAAATATATGTCAATGTTTTTTGATGTTACTTTGGCGAAAATTTTTAAAATTGTTTGTTCAAAAATTTGGTATAC